CCCCAAAACCCCAAAACCCCAAAACCCCGGAGGACAGTATAAATACTGAGAAATTAAGAATACTTATAATAATAAATTAATATGCAGAAATTCGAAGCATTAACTTGTTATCTACCCCACTGCAACCGTAAGGCTGAAAAGTTTGTCACTTTCAGTGAAAGATATGTGTGTGGTTTTTGTGTAGACTCCAACCACGATGACGACAATGTGATTACTCTGGTCGACCCCAAGAAATGCCAACATGCTCTTGATTTAGGTACGCTGGAAGATCAACCTTGTGCTTCTTGAAGACTTGTGAGAGACGGGGAGAGACGCATGAACCCTTCTGTGGAGCACTCATGTTCCGTAGTCCTTTAATGGGGGTTTACCTACCCTTGCCTCTGAGGCTCTCCAGTTTTAGATAAATAATTTTGATTCTGATGGTTTTTGTCTTACTGTGAATATAGTCGATGTCAACATCAAATCAGTAGAATCTATTATCAATTATGACAAAACTCTCAAATATAAATGGAACCTTTACATTAAAGAGCTTGAGGACTTCAGAAAAAAGACAAACGAACTCAAAGAAGACCTTCAGATGCTTGTTCAGCACAAGAAATGGCCAAAGTTTGTTGATGCCAAGCAGAATGTCGGTAAATCTTTGCTTGACTTCTGGTTCAAATCCTGAAATACTATAGACTCACTGAAGCAAGAATGGAGAGAAAGTAATATCTTATTGGAATACCTGAAGTAAGTTTGATGTATAATATTTAGGTTCATGAACAAAGAGAGCACAAGATTAAGATTGATAGGAGTCCAGAATGGCAATCTCCTAATTACTGAGAACATAGATCTGAAAAAAACTTGTCGTGAGCTTAGAGATGCGAAAATTGATACCGATATCAAATTGAACAAGATAATTAATGAGCTTAGAGATAAAAATGATGATCTCAGAGCTCAGAATGATGAGTCCAAAACCCAAAATGATAATCTAAAAACCCAAAATGGGGAGCTAAAATCCCAAAACGATGAACTTAGAAGCCAAGGTGGTGATCTTAGAAGCCAAAATAATGAGCTAAAAGCCCAAAAGGCTTCTATTACTACAGAAAAGAGTAATCTTACAAATGAACTCGAAGCTGCAAAACAAAACTTGAAAAAACTAGAGCATCAAACTGCTCAAATGAATAATCTCAAAGCTGAGAATACAAAGCTTGACAGGGAGCTTGTAAAATCTCAAACAGAAAACAAGGAGCAAGCTAGCCAACTCGAAGATCTAAGAAGCAACTTCCAAGATATGAAGGAAGTTGCTGAAAAATCTCGTAAATTCCCCAAAGTTATTAGCATATTTCACACACCAAAATACACACCATCCATCTCCACTACTTCTCCCTTCTAACTTGTACACATAGAAACAAGCATGGAGCAACTAAAGACATCTCATTCCCAAACAGACGATAAAATCGAACACTCTTTCAAGCATCTCCAAAATACTTGTCTAAATTTACAGCAAGCTCTCTCTGAGAGTATAGAAAATGTCTGGATGGATATTGACTTTTTCAAAGTTATCCAGAATCAAAACCAGAAAGAAAATAAAGATTTGTTAGAATCTCTCAAAGGTATTCATCGTATTACAAATCAATAATATTGTATTCTCCCAGTTCTAAATATCAGGCATTATTTTATACAGAAAGTCAAACCAAAAACGAAGATTTCATAAAATCCATTGATGAAATCCAAAAGACTCAAAGCATGGCCAAAGAAGTCATAACTCACAACCAGACCTCAGTAATATCCTTTTTAAAATCTAGCTTACAATCCTCAGGGTATTAGCAAGCAAGAATGAAATCAAGGTAAGAAAGCTTTAAGCTTGGCTAACCTACATAGCTGACCAACAAAGAGACTGAATTCTTAGACAAACTTTCCACCAGCAAAAGGATTATGTTTGATCTGAACAATGAAGTGGCAAAGGCGATGTTTTCATTAGTGGACAAGCAAATGCTCAGCCATTTAGATGAGTTGAAATTGGGGCGTATTAGCAGCAACAGTGAAGGTAAGCATTTGATAAGTGTGGAAGGATTGGATATTCTGAGGTATATTTTCCTTCTTTCCTTCAACCCACCTTGCATCACTCACCTATCTATAGCTGACAACATCCGCTTCCTCTCCACCTGCATCCCTCCCAAACTCCACACTCTTTACATCCTCTTCGACCCAAGAGCTAAACCCATAACTCCTTACCTGCCCCACATCCTCAACCTCAAGTCCAACATCACCTCCAAACTCACACTCCTCTACGTGACCATGAAGAAGTCAGAGAAGCAGCAGATAGAACAAGCGTTCAGCCACATTGAGCTTGAATTTGGAAGTAAGGTTTTGTGTTTATGTGTAGTGCGTACAGTTTGTTGTTCAGAGTTTAGAGGTGAAAGTAGTAAATGGATAGTCGGATATAGGAATTGGAAAAAGGTGATTTTTATTGGGTAATTGTGTGTAGATTTTGAGTATTAATGATTCAGTGGAGAGATTAAGATGTGGGGTTTTGGGGTTTTGGGGTTTTGGGGTTTTGGGG